CAATGCCTCGACTAAAGGAAGTAAGTTGTGAGAGCTTTTGGAATTTTGTCGTTTCGGAATTTTTGTCCTCATTTAGAAGATTGTTCAAATGCATAGGATATTACCCCTTCTGTATTTTCTCTAGCTTCACGTCTGTCATCTGGTTTAATGATATTTTCTACATTTCTTCTCATATTACTCTCACTTAGCAACGTCTGAATATGGAAACTTAGTTGAATACCATTTCGTATGAGTGGAAGCACGTTTAGATCTTGTACTCAAGGGGACATGAACCAAGTAGATGTGTCAAACTGATTGAATGGAACTTACATATAAGCTATATATATATATATAGGACTAACATACTTGTCTTTCCTTTCTCAAATGGTAGATTTATCCTTCAAAATTTTTGTTTCATTTTGAATGCTTAAATGTTTGAATATATCACAAGAATTTGTTTCTCTCAATGTTCCTTTGTTGTCATTTTTCTTCCAGAGAGTGTTAGAACCTCATAGTATATCCCTCGAAGACGATCTCAACGAAGCAGCAAAGCAAGTTGAGGTATGCTCCACAGACTTTATCGTCATTTCCTTTGCCAGTCAAGACTGTCTTTCTCCTTGCAATCTGGGGTTTATAACAATCAACAAATGTCTGCAGGAGGAGATGAAAAGCAAGACAGAGGGTCTGCTAGATCCCGAACTGCTCCAACAGTATGCCATTGTAGACAAGGAAGCTGATTTCGAGAAAGCTTTGCAGAACGGGGGGAAGATGTCCTCAAGTGGCGTTATTAGCGTGAAATCCAGCAGAAGCAAGATGGAGAAACATTGGGGAAAGCAGAAAGGAGCAGATACGAGCCTGAAAAAGCGAAGTAAAGACGAAAATGGCTCGAGATCAAATAAAAAAAGAAGACATTAGCCATGGTCGATAATATTATGACCAAGAGTGAATGCATGGTGTGGAGATGAGAGGTAACTAAATTATACTAAAGCATTGTTTCTCTGCAACTATATATATATATTTTTTTGATCACAACATACTTCTATGTGAAATTTTGATAAATGTAAGTGGACTAAGTCCTTATAGTTTGTGTGGGAAATTTCTTTTAGGTTTTAGAGACGGTGAAGGTAAAGGGTTAACGATAACGCTAATAAGAACGCGCTAAATAGGAATCAAATTGTAGTAAGTGTTAAATTTTGATAATTAATATGGTCGGTTTGTCATTTATTCAATTATATATATATATCGGTCCGAATATTAAATTTGTCATTGTAATATTTTAAATATTTAAATTCGTTTTTATACTAATTTTTTATTCTTGTAGTCTCTTTATTTTTTAAAAAAGTGTATTAGTTCGTGTTAAATGTCATTAATACTATTACCGAATTTAACACGCGACAATAAGTTGGATACGTTGTTGTTTTTAGTTATATTATTTTTTTTTAATTTTTATTTATTTTTAATATAAAAATAAAATTATAAATTTTACTAATTTAAATTTTTTTTATTTTATAAAATATAATAAAAAATTTGTGCTAAAATTTATAAATTAAATATAATAAATTTGAGCTAAACCTAATGTAATATTCATCTTGCCTATGATGGTTTTCACACCTCTGTCTAATGTAGCATCCACAATCTCTACAATTTTATATATTATTTTAATATATAACTTTGAAATATAAATTGAATATAAAATAAAATAAACCAAAAAAAAATATGTGACCACTAACTTTTATTTAATAAATTATGAAGTTGATATTATTTAATTTAAAAAATTAATTTTTAAAAAATATTATAAATTTATTAAAATTTATTAAATTTAAAA